CATAAAACGAGCCGCGTCGAACTTCGAAGCACTTGGCGTTGGCTGCCATTCGCCAAACACTCCGAAGCATTTTTGCGATCATTTGCCCCAACAGCGGTCAGCTTGGGGTTCTTCCCTCTTCAAGCGGCCTGCCCATGCCGAATTAACGCGGAATCCGGGACTTCGGGGGTCGGCGTTGCAGGCTGTCGCAGGGGCATTCCCCGGAGTAGCTGAGCACCACATAGACCATCAATACTGGCAGCACAAGGGGCTGGGAACGGCGGGCGGTTTTCATGTCTACAGAACTTCTGGACCCAGCTGATGGTGTTAGGTAGCGCGAAATCGGGATTATTGGCGACAAGGAAGCCGCAAGGACCGATGTCAAAGCCTGCGCCACGGTATATAATGGGTAGTTGGTAGCTGATGGTGATGAATATGCAGTTGAAGGAGATTGTGTTGCCCATGATGCATGGTTTGTGTGTGAATTGTGTCTCAGGTCGAGGATTGCGCCGTGGGGTCTGCACGTGAGACAAGATCATCCTCTCACAAGTGCCTGGGTAGAAGGTAGAACTTTCGTCGTGTTGTGAATGAAGGATCTTTACTAAACATCACGGGGAGGCCGTTACAATCGAGTTTTTGGAATAACTTCCTACGGACGCGTTGACACATGTCACGTGGAGGGAAAGTTTGGTAGCCCATGACATCCCTGCGTGAAGGGCATCGGCACATGATCCTGCCAAGACTTTTTCTGAGCCACGGTGTCCAGACAAAGCTGGCAGAAGCCGCGGTATTGAGCCACGCGACATCACTGGAGGGACATCTCTGGATCACTTTGTCAGTCTGTGCTTTTTCGTGTGTGCGGCACTTGCATTGCACGTGGGCAATTATTTAGCCGTCCGACAATTCAAAAACACTTTGTCGACTTGAGATTCCTGTCCAAGACATCAGCTGGCCTGGTTCAACTTGGAGACATCTGTAGCCCAGCTGCCAAAGCAAGTGTACTGGGAGCACTTCGGAGCGCAACACTCCTGGGCAGCAATGGATGCGCCTGTGCGCTCTGTGCCTGTGTCTGTCCCTGCGTCTTCATGTGTGTGTGTGTGTGTCTCATGCGGCCTGCACAACGAACTTCACTGACATTTAAGTATATCACATCGTTGACAAGGCTTGCAAGCTCGTTTGCTACTTCATATTTCACTGTGCAGGTCGCTTCTAGCAGACAGTCACTGGGCAGAGGTGGCAAACCTGAGCAAGCTTAAGCAAGACTTGTCTGCCGATAGTACAGTTAGCTTAGCGAGTCAACCGGTCCTCCGCTGTTGTGCCCGGATGGCTCTTCTTATCATCCGGTACCGTGTGCGTGGCATTGCACTGCACCATCCTGAGATCGAAGCATAGCAAGTACATGTGTGTAATTGCAACTGTGCGTCTGAGCACGAAAACCAAGACAAAACAAGGCTACCAGTACGCCACAACGTGTTGGTGATGTAGCGCTGGTGTTCTCGGGTATCGTACTTTTGCTTACCCTTTGTTACCGCACAAGCCCCATCACCAGGCGCTGGCAGGATTCGAGCAGAGCTTATCACAGCATTCCTCGTCACTGGCTGCCACGTTGTCAACGCAATCAGGATTCTCCTCGCGGTGGGTCGTACGATGCTGTTCAGCGCACGCCTTTTTGTACAAACCAACATGAAACACTGCTTGTCAGACTTCGCCGAGGCACTGCCGTTCTGTGCACCGTAAACCCCAATAGCGGTACATCGTAGGAAACCCGTAGCTGTGAACTTTGAATACATCTTGGAGGGTCAGGCTTTTATTGGTGGAGGTGGTTCAGTTGTCCTTATTCTTTTGGAAAAATGACAACACAAGCTACAAGGGTGAGGCTGGCTTGCACATCTTGCAAACCTTTGGTGAGGCAGGTGGCCGGGAGCTCACTGCAGAAGCAGTACAAGACAAGCCAGTCAAAGGTATGAGGTCTGCAAAATCCCGCATTATGAGAATCTCCCATCAATCGGAAAACCGCGTCCCCTGCAGCAGGATGTTTGGGATCCCAAAGCTTCTGTGACCCTAAAGACCCTAAGACGAAACAAGTGAGACCCCCTCTCCGAAAATCCTGTCTTCAAGACTGAAGCACCGCAGTTCTACTACGTATTCAGCTAACGATCCAAGGCTTGCAAAGACAATCCGAGGAAGTGGAGAAACTGCTGCAAGTTCTGCAGCATAGGATGAAGAGATAGATGTTGATTAAGTGGGTCTATGTTGTTGGCGTGCACCTTTTGCTGTTGTCGTGCTTTTCTGCCTTCTGCAAGTGACCTTGCCCTGGTTTGGTCGTGGTAGCATTGTACTGCTTAGGTGCGTCTACAAAAGGGGTGCCAAGAGTACCTTTTCGGCCGGGATTTTGGCCCGACAGTTTGTTTCGCGAACGATTTCCATTTCGCTAATGCTCGGGCCCTGGTCTTCATCAAAAAAGGGGTGTTAAATGGTGAAAGTTAATTCCGGAAAAATATCCAAAAATGATGGGTCTTGGGATACCCAGAAGAGGCCCAGAGGAGGCCCCCCGTCCCCACCACTACTATTTCGACCCGGGTTCCCGCAAAATTCTGCTCAGACCCAGCACCAGAACCAATCTTGGGGGCTTAATAAACGCACCCAAACATTAATATCTATACTACTTCTACGGACCCTCGGCGCCCTGCCCGCACCCAAAGGTGGCCTGCGAGGACCCACTTTGATGTACCCCACTTCCCCCTGCCCTTCCATCCGGACCACAAAGAGACATCAAAAGGGAACATCACAGCATTCGAATAAGCATGATGGAGCATTTGCAGGCAGGTTCACTGCCACATACGGCAGTGTACAATGGCCAGGACAACTGCTGGACCTGCCACGTGTCTTTGCGTCGATGCTCTGGCTCCGAAAAACATGCCCGGATGAAAAAACATTTTTCAAGCAGGAACCCGTGTGATTGGCAACCAGGTTACCGTCCAAATTGGTCTTTGGGAGTCTTTGGGAGGGTGGTTGGTGGTTGCCATCCGACTGATCGGTTGTTCCTTTCATGTTCTTTCCACACCAGTCGAGGCTTCGTTTGGCGGCATGCTGTTTGCGTTCGGACGCCAGCCTTGTGGCCGGTGCTACAAGACCACCTCCTGCATGTTGGACGGCCTGAGCAGGCAGAACAGACTCACGAGAACATGCTTTCTGGAAGCGTCATCAACAGCAGGAGGTCCAGCTCAGAGCCAAGGTCGCGTAGAACTGTCAAGGTCTCAACAGCCTTGCATATTTAATTTGGGGATACGTCTCATGAGTCGAAGCCGACCAAGATCCAGAATGCCTGGCTGCTATTGAAACAAAAAAACCGGGCCCACCCACCGTAGAGCCTCACTGTCCAACCCACAAAGCCAAAACTACAAAACTACGACAGCGCCGCACCTGTCACATCTACCAGTAAGCCAGGCCGCAGCAGTCTTCATTGCTCGCGCCCTGCAAGTTCTGAAAGTTTGGCCTCCGTTTGCTATTGGTAGTTCGGTGCTTCTCAATACACATTATTATATACATGTATACCTTTATACGCACATACCACATATACATGTATGTATACATGTATATGAAAAGATGTATGCGTTGCATACAAGAGGCTTTGGAGCCCATCCATCCTTCAAGACGCACGGGTGGGCGCTACCTGAGCAGGCCAAGGATGCCTGCAGGCTGAGAGGCCCGCACTCATGAAACGAGTCAGCATTCCGAGAAAAGCAATGAAAAAACATCAACAAATCAGCGAAACCAGAAAAAAGCCCAGCCCAAAACAACTCCCCAAAGCAGGGCGTGTAAAGCAAAGTTATGAATGACAGGTGAAAATATGACGCTACGAAGGCTTCCCATGGAAGAGTGTTGCTGCGAGCCCTGGTTGATATTTTGGCAATCCGTATCAACCCATTTTTGCCAGTAGATGAATCCTGAGCCAATGTCGGGCCGACGGCCAGGAATTCCATGTTCGACTCTTCTTCATATAGCTCCCAAAGCCAATTCACTCTGGACGTCAGGCTTGTAGTCTATAAAGTTTGCAGGCCCCCTGCAAAGCAGACGCTTTGATGAGTGTTGGCGCTACCATGTTTCTGACCGCTATCTTTGCACGATTTCGTACCACTTCTCAAGCTTTCATGGGCGCAGTAAGCGATTAGCCATGCTGTAGCCGTAAGTCCATGTAAGACCACTAGCAACTGCAGCAACACCTAAAGTACCTAAAGCAAGTCCAGAGTCTTGACCTCGCATCGCGCAGGAACAGGACTATTCTTGTGCAACTGCGCCGCAGCTTTCTTCACTTCGATGTTGGCGACTGTGACCCTGCAGCTGCAATGCTGAATTCGAAGAGAACAGAACTTCTGACTAAAAATGTGGCTCCGCTTCTCCATGTCTGGCCTCCTCATTCTGTCGCACTTTCCATGCCTGCATGGAACTTGTGCACACTGGTTTCTTACCAATCTGCTCTGCTGCTGCACGGCAGGCAGACACTAGGTGTCCCAGGAGCTGTATGACATTAGCAGGCGATGCCTTGACTGTCTGCACAAAATCGTGACAGCATGTCAGCAGACAAACCCCAGCATAGTCAACAATGATGCGCCCAGAAGGACGTGCCTCTGGTCTGAGCAGCAGCAGCGCCGCCGCGAAGCTCAGCACCTGCCAGCAAAGTATCGAACGGCAGCGCAGCTTCAAACTCGCCCGGCGCAGAGCTTTTGCATGTTTGTGGCGGGAGTGTGCAATTTCAGAGAACTTCTCAGACTTTGGCCTGCTTCATTGGCTGTTGGCCGGCTCCGAGCGAAGCTCAGCCCCCATCTAGAGCTGGGGCCCCCTATTTAAAGGCCCCTCGAGTCAAAGCAGCAAGACGCACAGAATTCCTCGGCCATTGTCGAACACTCAACTTGTGTTGCCTTGTGTTTCCAAGGCCCAGAGCTACTAGCTGTGATACAGCCGGTCAAGGCAACACACCGCGGCTGGGAGCAATCTCACCTGATGTCACCCGGGTGACCTGCATAAATACGATCGTAGCGCATTCCAAGGTTGACATCGAGCCTGGGCTGACAAACTGGGCCAGGGTGGTTCAGGTCTTCCTGTGGAGAGGTAGCAGGTAGCCATTATGCCACGATGGCATTGTAGGCCGTTCTATTCATCACATGCCCTTCGCAATGTGTCGCATCTGCGTATTCCTATGTATTCTTGCCCGTAAGCACAACTAATTTAGTCGACTGAGGTTGCAGCTGGTACACGTTTCCCACATTGAATTCGATGTGATGTTTGCCCAAGGAAGCACAGCGTTCCTGGAGCTGCTTCAAGAATGCATGAACACTGGCTGATTCCGGGCATCGGCACCTGCGCGTGGGACACGTTTTCTGGCCAAAGCTCCAAGCCGTCGTTCACACCACACCTTGAGTTTATCTAAAACAGTTGAGGTCTAGTGTGCAACATTGTCGTGAGATGCTGTAAGCATCAAACTCGCCCACGACTTCGGCCACAAGGCAGCTGAAGTAGCCCGTTCCCGAGCCAATGTTCAAAAACCTGAACCCCGACTCGCGATCACGCACTCTGCAAGTTCTGAAATCTGAAATGCACAGCCGGATGCACAGCAGATGCGGGGGTTCCACTTGGAATCCCACGACATTCCAGCCTTCAAAGGCATGAGAGCCTGCCCCGTCGATGCACAAAAGGTGCTGCCAGTCGGGTTGCAGAGCACTGCGGCACATGGCATATCTGCAGGCCGTGCCTCCAAAGCTCTGGCATAGATGTGTGGTGCAGACCTTAGAAACAGCACGTGCTTGGGAACAAGTAAATCGAATCGAACGTGTTCAATTTATGTTTAGTCTTCAGCTCGACACGGCTGTCAACAAATCGTCAGCCACTCAATCGGGGAGAACTAGGGAGTTGGTGACATACACCGGTCGGGTTAGAATAGTCGGTGCTTTTTCAGTCTGGGGTCTGGGATGCCCCAACGCCAGGAAAAATAACAAGCGGGAATCGTTCAAAGGATCTCATTCGGCAGCCACGCGACCAAAACAAACCAGAAACACATATTCAACTGCACCAAGCGTAAACCGGAACAAGTCGAAATAACAGCAAAATGTCAGCTTTGCGAACCAACAACCCTCAAGCAGAGAGTCAGTGTTGTGGTTTTCCGCAAGATCTAGAAAAATCAAAAAACCTAAAGAAAAGAAGCAATCTTGCCTCGAAAGCCAGGTACGGGCACTGCAGGGACTGGGCGCTCCAAGGACATCCACCCCGAGTCATGTTTTGCGAGGGGGAGGGCGAGGGGGGAGGGCGAGGGGGGAGGGCGAGGGGGGAGGGCGAGGGTGAGGGGGTGGGGGGGGGGGAGAGAAGGGAGGGGCGGGGGCCGGGGGGGGAGGAGTCACCATTGTTATTGTTGTTCGGCAAAGCATTGACACACGTACGCATGAATGCGCAAGGACGGAGGAATAACCACACGTGCGAAACTGACAGCCCCGCAAGATCAAGCAGACCACTGTTCCTTCCGACATCCCCACCAGCCAGAACACTTTATGGGAACTGCGGGGACTGCATGCCTTCTCTGTGAGATGCCGTGGGGAGATATTTGCCGGCGGGCGTTCCACAGGGATTGTCTGCAAAAGCCGTGGGCGCGGGATACGCTGCAGGTGAGGATGCGGGATTCTTTGGGCGTAGCCTTTGAGGGTGGGCACTCCAGGGCAGAGCCTGGGTGAAGAGGACAGGAGACCCAGGCGAGGAGAATGGCTGAGTCCGAGTGGGGGCGACATCGAACAATCCAAACAATGCACAGTTTCCGGGCATAAGGTCCGCCCACAAGGACGAGCATTGAAATGATGCCGATCTGGCCCGCGCCCGAATCTTAAGTCTCAAAAAAGCAGCATGAAATCTGAAAGCGCACGTACTCATGAAAATCCCAGCGGTGTAATCCCTTCCCCCTAATAAGAAATCCCCGCCTGAAACTAAAACACCCGAACCCTCAAGATACTAAAACCTTTTGGGGGCTTCGGGGGTCTTAATACTAGGGGGGGAGGGGGGGCCTTAATGTTAGGGGGAAGGGTTAACAGGCAGGCTATCTACTGCGTAGGAAGCTGCATGTGTCACATGTGTAATCTTGTCCGTTGCATTGATCAGGGGCGCATGACGAGGCTCAGGCTGATGAAGCTTGCCATGACGGAGGGGGGCATCCTCAGCACCGTTCAGGAGCACATTGAGCACATGACGAAAATTGACAAAGTATGACAACTGAGACAATGTTGGCATGTGTCCACAACAGCTGCAGCTTGTAACATTGTAAGCTGGAGGCCCCGTATATGTCCGATCCAAAGGATCCTTGCGCCAGAGTGGCAGCGTTTGGGGCGGAGTCTAAGCCAACAGAGAAAAGTTTTAGCACGCACAAGTTCTGTAGGTCTCACCACCGAACCTCGGCGGCTGATCCAGAAATTGCCACGGTCCACGGCGCGGAAGGCAGCGATACCTTGCGAGGCACTGTATCGAAGTGTTTCTGCCGAAGGCACGCTGCCAACTCTTGGTTGAACTCGCCCGAGGACAAATTTGGGCCGCGCTTCTGCGATCCAAACGGATAGCATTCTTAAAGTAATGCCCTACTTACTTCCCGTCATGACGAGCAATGCCTGATACATCAATGCCACATAACCCTGCCCAAGCATGCGGCAGGCTGGAGATCGAAGTGTTCCAGAACGCTCCAGCCTGGCAAGGGGTAACGCTCGCCCGGTACTCACGAGATGTCACAACATCGCCTAAACATCCCAAGCTGTTTTCCCCATCAAGGTCGAGCTCAGCACTGGTCGACCATGCGCTCGTTCGCAAATGCCTGCAGGGCTTAGTAAGAGAGACTAAACAGTTCAACAGGCAGTACAAAAGCTTGCAAAGTCAGAAATTGTAACACATGATTGCAGTGTCCGATCCAAGATGCCTCATCATCTCCAGAAGCAAACATTGCGCTGGGGTGATATAGACGCTGGAGCTTGTCGCCACGTCAGCTTCACACGATGGAAGGACTGTTCCACAGGCACGTGCTATGCTGAAAACAAACCATGAATTTGCCTGAGCAACTAGACAAGATAAACGTCGCAAACTTTCGCCTTGAACAAACACCTGCAGCGTGCGCGCGGGAACTGACTCCTTTTCAGCTCAAAAGCAAGGGGGGTTCAGCAAGTGAGGTTTCCGCACAGCCTGCGTGAGAAATTAAGCTTCTGCAAACCTTCGCAGGGAGCCGATTCGGATGCAATGTCGTGACAACATCGTTGCTACGATCTGTGCTAAAAATGATGATGATGGTGATGGTGATGATGATGATGATGATAAAGACAACAGCGATGATGAGGGGTCGCGACGATGATGAAGATGCTTTTGATGATGACGATGATGGTGCTGATTACGTTGAATATGACGACGATGAAAAAAGGCCCTGATCATGATGCTGGTGATGGCGATGGTGATGATGATGATGATGATGATGATGGTGGTGGTGGTGATGGTGATGATGATGATGATGATGATGATGATGATGATGATGGCGGTGATGGTGGTGGTGATGCCGAGGATGCCGCTGCTCCCACTGCTGATGATGGTTACATACTGTGATGACGGCGATGCTGGTAGTCTCATTTTTGCTCCTTGAGGACCTGCTTGTCCCACGAGGCAGAGAATAAAAAGTTCTCAATTAAGTGTGACACGGAACCATTGTCAGGAGCTGGCATTGTGCCTGCATCACTGCCACGGCGAAGTCGTTTTGAAATCAACTGTCCCATGTTCGAAATCTTTTTTGAAGACACCATTGTCCAAGTGTGCTGATGCCTTCAAACAACTTTAGATGTCGAGAAGTGCTTGTCGTTCATGCATGTCGGAACACCTGTACTTCAACTCAATCTTGTCAAAGATATCTACACTCAACGGCATCCCCTTCAGGGATCCTGTGCTGATAATTAGAAAACATGAAATGAGGGCGCGGCCCAGACTATGGCTTCACCACGGTTTTGGAGGTTGGGTTGGCGTTTTAGACATTGGCTGGTGAGATAGGACTGGAACAATTCAGGAAGACCGTCTGACGTATAGTGAGGCCATCATCTCAGTGGCCTAGTCATTGCAGCTGAGAAGACCGCTGCCGAAGCGCACTATCCACGACCTGGACCATCGCCAGGCCGACAAACGGAGCGGAGGGTGGGAGGGAGGGGAGAGGAGGGGAGAGGAGGGGAGAGGAGGGGAGAGGAGGGGAGAGGGTGGAGGGAGAGGGGGGAGGGGGAGGGGCCGGAAGGAGGGGCCGGAGGGAGAGGGGCCGGAGGGAGAGGGGCCGGAGGGAGAGGAGAGGGGGGAGGGCGAGGAGGGGAGGGGAGGGGAGGAGGGGAGGGGAGGGGAGGAGCGGGAGGAGGGGCGGAGGGAGGGGAGGGAGGGGAGGGGCGACGGCAAAGCATACTTAAAGTCGTAGGCATGCCCATGACAACACAGCACAAAGACGTTGATGGTCTCGAGAGCTTCAATGCATCTTTGTGGGGCAGCGGGTTGTTTCCTAAGTTTCCTACTCTTGAAACCACAACCCTCAACTTGCCGCGACGCCTGCAAGTCGTTCCGCAACGACTCAAGGGCTTCATCGATAGCCCGCATGCGCGAGTCAACGTTTATGCCTCATCTGAACACACGAACCTACCAGCTCACTGTCAGCTCACTCAATGGCAGGAGAGAAAGCCCAAATCTTGAGCAGTTTGAGACAGATTGTCTAACCATCTACAGCATTTTTTCGAGTATATGTTTTCCCGAACCTTCTGTGCACTCAAATCGTAAAGTGCAAGCTACAGTAGCATAGGTTTGCATGAGCAAAACTGTGAGCAAAACAGGCTATGTACAGTTTACCAGCCGAGTGCTGGGTCGCATGTACCTTGTAGCTGTCATGCAAGGAGGAGACGAGGCATAAGTTGCAGTTACTCGGCCATTGCAAGTCTTGACGAGTTGTGCTAATCTGCAAGAGGCTGCTTGGATCTTACTGCCATTTGTTGCCTTACTCGGGCACCGTCTCATGCCAAACACCGTATATGCCGTTACAGGAAGGACAGCAAATTGCTGTACATAGCTGTACCGCTGTGAGCCTGATCCATACTTGAAGTTGTCGCAGTGATTGTCTGAGGGCATCGCAAACTGTCTGCAGCTCCTTGCGCAGAGTCCTCTCCCGCCGCCAAAGATCGCATCTTGGTAAAGCAGCTGTCGGGCTGAACGATCGTAACAAGCTGCATACTTCTATGTGCCTATGCATTCTTGCGGCACCATGCGCATTTGTTGCCTGTGGCTTATGTTGACCCTCGGCGTGCATGCACAGTCCGAGGGCCACGCTGAAGTGCCAAGACTTCCTCGCGAATAAACCCCGACAGTCCACGTATTGGACAGTGTACTGTGTGGCCAAGGCAAGGCAAGTAACATCAAGCATTAAATTGCAAACAGTACCAGATTGTCACTTCCCCTGGCAACGTTGTCACAGGCAAGCACGGTGAAACGTGCAGCCATCATGACAGGCATCACCAACAATGTTGCGTCACTAGGAAATTTGACAACAAACGCACCGCCAACCGCTTCGAGCCACCGGAGCTCCGGGTAGTACGTCGGCAGAGAAAAACGACGACTTCCAGGCCGTGACAACTCTACGACTGTTCGAACATCTTCGAACATCTTCAAACAGCATGCGCTCGGGACTGAGGCGAGCCAGCGCATTGAACGGCGCAAAAAACTGCGCAAACGAAGACATCCAAAACCCGCGGGTCCAATAATGTGGCCCAACGACGCCTGGGAAATTGATGGCCACAATATGAGTTCGAGCCCACACACCATGACACACCGGTGCCAGCCGTGCAAATCTCATCAGCAAGGCCCGAGTTTACATCAGAATTTCCAAAAACATCCCCATGCGGAGAAAAACAGATTTCCCAATTGAATCCGATGAAACTCCTGAAGTCAAACCGAATACCAGCAACAACAAGCCATTCAGCGCACAATCCGTCTATGCTCAGTCTAGAACATAAGCTGGTCCTGGGCTTTGGCCTCACCGCGCGCCTTGACTAGGCCCATCGCAAACTCCTGCAGGTGAGGATATCGCAGTCGGCCGCATCATCTCATTTCGCAGACAGCATGTGCCCTTGACTGCAGAGACGGGCGTGCGGAGGCGCTTCCCCATGCGCCTCTGCTTGGGACAGGCTTAAGACCAGGGGGTGCATCCACTGATTTCGATAAACAAGCACACACGCACACATGCAGTTGAATTGCACTGCAGCATAAAGCACAAGATGAACTAAGTTGTCTCCTTGTATTCCAGCTCACCAGAGCCATCGTAGTCAATGACCTGGTGTGAGAGGGCAGCGCCACTGTCGTTCCACTGGCACGACACGCAAGGCCCGGCACTAGTAGCGGAGGGATTGCTGCGCGAGGGGATTGGCGGGGGTGGGAAGGGAGAAGAAGTGTGTATAACATATCCACCCACCCTCAAACATCCCCCCCAAGAAAAAAACAAGAGGATACATCCAAGAAAATACTTTCCATGCAAAGGTACACAACACACCGGCAATGCAAATTCATGAGTCAAAGAACATTGTCCTAAAGCCTATCCTTCATGCAAGACTTGTACTTTGCTATCATGCAGTCATGCACAGCAATGCTCAAACAGCCACGTCGAAGATGAACTCGGCATTGGTTATGTCAATGCCAACTTCCCGCAGGTAGAGGCGTACGTCCGGCTTGAGCAAAGCTTGCATAAGCTCTTCCTGCCAAAGATGATGGAGGAACCCATGTTTGAACTACTCCGTCTTTGTCTCTGGTACATGCGCTTTGGAGCTTGCCCATCCATCGAGTTGCAACCGACCTCTGCTAATCTGCGAGTCCGATCGAGTCCGCCGGCGGCTGGGTCCTTCGTGATGTGGCCATCCCCATTTCCGTCAGCACGTCGGAAGACCTCTCTGCACCACAAATGGCCGTGGAGTGTACACACAATTTCATGCCTCGATATCCGCATGTCCCTGTGATCAGCGATCAGGATGCTTACAGGCTTACAAGTACGTTTTCGAACAAATACCCAGGATTGTGGAAAATTCAGCTGCCCTTTATCCTGAGAGCCTCGTCAACTTTCACGGCAGCCATTGACGTCTGATATTCCTCTGCACGCACTTGCATCGCATGGATACGATCAGATGCGATGCATGTACCGATTCCTAGTCCAAGCGTGGCATCAGACCTGGTCACGCATAGCTTGGAGTTTCTGGTCCAAGGCAGCTTCCAGCGTGCTGTCAACAATGACCTGAGTTGTTTGGTGCCAGCGGAAGCTGCACGCCAGACAGGAGCTGACAGTTGGAGAGTCTTGTGAGGGTGGATCCGACCATCTCTGAGCGTACTGAGAACGGCACAGACACGATCATGTTCATGATGGAGAAGGTGGTAATAAGCAGGAAGGCAATGAAGACGATCCTCGCGGCAGGTGCAGTCATATGCAGCCGTACGCATGCTTCCAGGATTGATTCGTAGGTTTGGCCTGACTTACCCAAAGCAAGTGCCCGTGTTTCTTTTGCCCGCATGTCTAACAGGGACCACTCCAACCGCCTGAGCGGCTTTTCCTCTGGGGGGATGGTGTCGTTGTGTGTCGCTGTTTACTTTGGAGACCCGTTTCTGGAGCGTTTCTGCATCAATTGACCGAGTAAGTATTAGGATGACACATGTGGTATGTAATTGCTTCTGAGGAGGTCAATGCCCACACGTAGACAGATGCTCACGCAGCTCTTGAGGTCATGATGTGTCTCGCGCTCCGGTACCCCCCGTTAGCCCTAAAATCACCACGAACGGAGGGGGGAGCGGGAAACCCAAACCTAAACCCTCAACCCCAAACCCTGAACCCTAAAGCCTAAACCCACCATGAAGCACATGGGCGAAGAGGGGACTTTAACATCCTTAACCCTGAACCCTAAACCCTGAACCGCAAACATCCGTAAACCCACCGCGAAACACGGGAGGGAGAGGGAAACCTAACCCACCAAGAACCAGGGGGGGCAGAGTGAAAACCCCAAACTGTACAGCCTTACCCTAAACCCTTAGCTGCGGGACATGCTGCGGGACCAAAGTGGGGGATACCATGGGGGGGGGGTCCGTCAAGCTGGCACATATAGACCCTTGACAGATCCCTCAAAATCCCACACACACTTCCCACACGGTGCGCGCCAAAAGGCCACACCCAGGGCTCGACATTCGTAGCAGCGCGTGCGACGTCTGGCCAGCCCTCGAGTGTCATCACCTGCATATCGTGAAAAATCGAGTTGTGAAATGTTGTGATCCCACTCGAACTGTGCCGAAGTCCTATCCTGTTTGGAACTCTGTCCCATTTGCATGTGCGATACGGAGAGGAAAAGCCTCCTGTTGCTCTGCCTGTGTGAGCTTCAGCTGCTCCATCAGTGTAATTGACAGCTGACTCTTCCAGCGATTCTGGAGCAGGGTTGTCGACTTCATGCATTGGCAAAGACACACTTGCAGAACCGGCCAGCCACGTGTCATTGAGCTTGCTTGGGATCCATAAGAGCTATACGATCCCATACAACCTCCCAACCCAGACCCAAAGCAGGTCGTGCTCGTGGCTGTGAGTAGCTATTTTCGGGTGGGGGGTCGTACTGAATAGGGAGCCAGATGTCTACTATGATACCACAAGCAGCCACTAACGCTGTCATTCATTTCGGAGAAGTTCTGCCGGAAGCCACTAACATCCATTTACTGCACCACGCGCACGCCACCTATTCATGTGAGAGCCACATAAACCTCCAAAGCTGCAATCCGGAACAGGATCTTTTCAGCAGAGCCCGAATCAAGGAGGGGCCAGATTCCACACTGGCCTGGAAGAGCGTGAAGCAACCTAAGCACAATGAATCGATGTTGGGCATGGATAGAAGTGATACCATGCGCTCCACCCAGAAAGCACTCCGCATGTGCACGTGCAAGCGAGTGCTGGGCATGTGCCCAGGGGGTTATTGGATGTTATTGGGACGGCCGAGGTTTTCCAAATGCGTGGTTGGGTTTGGGTTCGAAGACCGCGCAACATGTGCATCCATTCTGGCATTCCGACTCCACCCAGGTGTTGTGAACTTGCTCACTGCGTAAAAGGCGTAAGAGTGAAGGCAAGTTGCACGACTCCCACACCCACATCGACATACCTACCGGCTGTGTGAGGCGATTCCCAAGCCTGCCGAGTTGCTGTATAGGAGATTTCCGAAGTACTTGTCAACATCGTCAGTAGCTCCCTGGTGAGCAAAGCCCACAGTTCGGGTAAGCAGGATGGCGAAGATGTAGATGAGGATTGAGATCAACACCTCATCACAAGACTTGCAAAGCCAATGTTTGCGTCGGGGTGCAACTTTGCTTTGGGTGGACTACAGAATTTCTTATACTTCTTGACGGCTTGATTTTCCAACGCTGCAAAATTGCGGAATCGTGGTTGACAGGCTGCAGAATGGCTGCAGGTGTGCTGTGCAAGGCTTCTTGAAATGAAAGTGCCGTTCCGCTAGAACAAGTGTGGCATTTCTGGCCAAAAAGATCATGGCGACTGCACATCGCGAAGTCTCGTTCGCAGGAGCCTGACCGACAGCTATGCGATTCACGACGAGCGCACGGGACCGAAGCGGCAGCTCTGATTTGAACACGCGATAGACTTCCGTATACTCGACTGGATGCACGAAGCAAAGCCGTCGAAGAGCCCAACGGGCACCCCTGGCACATTTCGCGCATGGAACGAGTCAAGCCATAAAAAGGGCACAGGTCCGAGGCGGAAGCGCGATTTGGACCACGGATTGCGCCCTCCGTACTCCCGAGAATAGGAGCCCCATTGTGTTGCCACACTGTTTGGACAAAACGGTCCTCAGGAACACAGCCACATGTCCCCTGCATGTCCTCAAGAGCTACCTGTACACTGCCAATGTTGCCGGCATCTGGCTCATGCTAGGAAAGCACATCTGCATCACCTCACTGTCAAGCCATAGCGGCCCAGGCCCACAGCAAAGCGCGCATAGCATCAACTGCACCTGAGGGACAGCCAGCTTAGTTTCCCGTTAGAGTTTTCGCATGGCAACCATCCTCCGACTACTACTACGACGACGACGACCACCATCACCACCACTACCACTACCACTACCACTACTACCACCAACACCACCACCACCACGGCGACGACGACGACCACGACTACCACTACCACCGATACCACGACAACCACCAGCACCACCAGTACCACCAGCACCACCAGTACCACCACTACCGCTACTACTACTACTACTACTACTACAGTACCACCACTACCGCTACTACTACTACTACTACTACTACTACTACTACTACTACTACTACTACTACTACTACTACTACTACTACTACTACTACTACTACTACTACTACTACTGCTACTGCTACTTCTACTGCTACTGCTACTGCTACTGCTACTGCTACTGCTACTACTACCACTACTACTACTACTACTACTACTACTACTACTACTACTACTACTACTACTACTACTACTACTACTACTACTACTACTACTACTACTACTACTACTACTACTACTACTACTACTCTACTACTACTACTACTACTACTACTACTACTACTACTACTACTACTACTACTACTACTACTACTACTACTACTACTACTACTACTACTACTACTACTACTACTACTACTACTACTACTGCTACTACTACTACTACTACTACTACTACTACTACTACTACTACTACTACTACTACTAATATATACTGCTAATACTACTAATACTACGACTACGACCACGACCACCACGACCACCACCACCACCACCACCACTGCTACTAACTGCTCCCACCATCACTACCAGTGCACTACCAAACTCACTACCATGCACTGGTATGCACTGGTGAAAGGTCGACACAACGAAGTGAGACATCACTTCAAAAGCGAGTTTAAGTCCGTCAGTGATTGAGCATGCCCAGTCGATAGTTTCGTGCCCTTTTGTGCAACACACCTGCTCTGGGCTTCTCAATTCTTTGTACAGCTTTCAACTTACGTCCGGCTGGAAAATCAATTTGGGATGTTCTCATTTAGAGAGTTCGCAAAGCTCGCTTGCATACAAGCCAAACCCTCAAAACAAAATCTCTCGTATCACCTTTCCAGATTCCGAACCCGACCGTTGCGAAGCGACCCTCATTTTTCTATGACTTTCCCTTGAGACCCTTGAGTACTTCTTATCCCTCAAAAAGACGGAAAAGCCAGGAACACTGCAAGACACCGTCAGCACTTCGGATCTTTGCGGATCATGTCAAAATGTCCGGCCTATGACCAGCAGCCAGAGCGGCTTGAAGAAGCGCAGCAGTCTCAGAACACGCGCCACCCGCAGCACCCGCAGCACCCGCAGCGAGCTCAACGAACCTGTCATAAGGGGACAGCATGGTCTCAATACAGGCACCTTGCAGCAAGTCACGGCATAGCGACAGGCAAGGACACACTGCGTTTTGATCATGAAGTAAGAATATGTAAACAATGTGTATTTCATCGACCGTGTGCAGAGGCAGTCAGGCATGGCATTGAGCACAGTTGCTGCACTGTTATACAACTTCTACGGCACAGGGGTGTGCCTGCACTGTCAGAGATCTGCTCCAGCAGAAAAGTGTCAAGTAAGGACAGTAACACCAGTCCAAAATCCTCAGATGCCAGATGTACCGGCCAGGGTACCGGTGGCAACACAATGACTGAACATGCTACAATATGACACAGCAATCTGAGTTTTCGAAGCCCTGCTTTGGTTGCCAGCATCCTTCAGCAGCCTTCGTTAGCATTCCGCGCAAAATCTCAGGCCCTCCACGCTTTCCGCCCCTCTGGGCCACCCTTCCTCACACCCCATCTTGCCGGCTAAGGTTTAATCATTCAGCTGCGACTTTACACGACTTTGACACATTTGAGCGGAAGGGTCATTGACACATTTCGAGACCAACCCCGGCAAGGCTTCAGGTACTCTCACGGCCTCCAATGAGCATCTGATAGGCCATGTTCGAAACAGCACAAGCGAGGAGTACAATTAGCAATCCCAAGCCACAGAACTGCCAAGGCTCGAACTTGTTCCAATTATCTGCAATGAAGGGCCACCAGGATCGGGAGTAGATTCGGATGACAAGCTCAACGACGAAAAACCCAACAAAGCTGTAGTTGACCTGAAGTGCAAAGCCAACAAGCTCTGCAAAGAAGCCATGTTCACTGAGCCAGCAGAGCATTGGGGAGACTATTTCAAGCTCTGAGCTAAGGCCGGCTCGATGCGCCATGGGTCCACTTGGTCCACATAATTACGCTCGTCGTAGAAATCCTTGGGGCCAGCGCTGGGGTGTGTGTGTGTGTGTGTGTGTCTGTGTGTGTGTCTGTGTGTGTGTCTGTGTGATGTCTATAAGGCAAGCATGAACCGATCATAGCCGAATATGATAATGTCGGGTCTCCGTCTCGAGTCCGAGCCAGACCTTAGCTGGTCCATGGGAAACTATTGTCACACATCGCGCTGATGCTCTCGAGTCTCGAGGCATGTGACTGAGCCATGCTTACCCAGACACTGTGTTGAGGAAGATGATGCTGGACACGATGAAGCTAAAGGCTCGCCCCCGGGTCCAGGGCAACTTCTCCAGTGCCTGCGTTTGGCCAAGCAGCCGCTTGGCTGCAACTTGCACATGTTGGAAAGGCCAGGCCTTCTCCTCTGAGCGGAGCTCCCAGTCGATGGCAGAGGCCTCACCGACTTCTCAAAGTCAACTAATAGGGCCGGCATTCGTAAAGTCGTGTCGTGCAACTCAACCCACTTCAACTATAGTAGAGCATGCTTCCAATAAATCCATTCTTCTTCTGCGCTCTCGAGGACCCCCCCCAGATCTCTTACCTCTTCTTCTTCTTCTTCTTCTTCTTCTTCTGCAGGGCTTGGGGGGCCCGGAAGACCCCTCGCGCTTAGGCGCGCCCAAGTTCACGGTCATCGTGAAACTACTACTCGTTCCCCCGGCGGTGTGAGAGTCGCCCTTTCTCTTTCTTTCTTTCTTGGGGGCATGGGGGAAAACCCCCGCGCTGGCGCTCCCTCTCTCTCTCTTCGCTGATCTTTTGCTGTCCAGTCAATCTCCAAGCACAAGCAGCATCTTCAATTCTTAATGTTGACCTCATATTAATAAACCCCCCGCAATTGCACAATCCAAATCCGAGAACGTAATTATAACCCCCCCCCCCCAATTGCACAATCGTTTCGGGCTAAAGCCGGTTGAAAAGCTGCATTTTCCTTTGTTGCTGAAAACAATTATAATTGGTAGGGCCAGGATAACGCATTCTTGCGCCTTTCCCCGCCTGGAAGCCAAACCCCCCCCCTCCTCATGCGTTTTGGAAGGCCTGGACAACGCACCCCCCCCCCCCCCCCTCCGGCCTCACTCCCGCCTGCAAGCAAAGTGCGTTTTGGAAGCCCTGGAAAACGCATTCCCTCTCTTAAAATGCATTCCGCCTGCCTCCCCCTCGCCCCCAAACTCTCGCCTGCCAGCAAAATGCATTTGAGGAGGCCTGGAAAACGCAGCCCCGCCCCTGCTTTCCCCCCCACGTCTTGAGGACGCGCGATTTGGGGACGTAAGGTCTGAACGTCGGGACGCGCGGTCTGGGACCGCTAAGGTCCAGATACTTTTAATTACGGAGCCCGCGGCCTGTGACCATACTTTGGGGGGGGTCATTAATATGAAGCGAACAAGACTCCTAAATAGTACTAGACTAGTCAAAGTACATTGAAATGGTCCCGCTTCCCATGGCCTCATTGTCAGGGAGCAGGCCCTCAAGGCTACTTGCCACACTGCTGATCCGCCGCCGGTGTGCCGACATGCCTCTTGTGCAATCCAGATTGGGAATTCTGTTGTTCTATAGCTTAGGCTCTGGTGGGTGGGTCTGAAGCCTTTGACTGAAACCATGCGAGGCTTGTCTCCAGGAAGAGCCTCCACTTTGCGTCGCTCGCGCCGCCTCTGCTCGCGCGCGGAGCTCTGCCAGCTCGCTGGCAGTTTGTGCACCTCCAAGCTCTCTGAGAGGGTGTGGTACCGATGCTACTTTGAAGTACAGCATGTGCAGCATGCTACTGGGATCCAAAGGGGAGCAAAGGCTCGGAGGGGCATTGAGAAATACGGGCGACACCAACCTACAGACATGTAGTCGTCGTATCTTAAGTCTCAATATTGCTGTATATTGAGTATATTGCTGTAGCTGGTCACATCTGGTCAATAGTAACTCGCTGAGCCTGCCCTGGCCTGGCCAGAAAAACCCTCCTGCTCTTCAGGTGGTCAGTAGCTTTCTCAGCCCCACCCAAACCGAACGTCTCTCGAGGGCTTGTCATGTGTCCAATCCAGCAGCACAGCCCTTGAATTCTCGAGCCCAAACCATCCCAAACCCCTGATATCGATGGACTATGATGGACTGATGTTTGTCCTGGATCGCACTAATTTGCAAGGGTCAAGGCTTCTGTCGGGCGCACCTGGTAGGGCAAAGTCTGGAAACGTCGGCACCCTGCAACGCTCAGTCGGGCGGCCAGGCTGCCGCGCAAGATGTCTACAAAAGCCAGGTGTTAGCAGCTGAACTACTGTCCTGTTGGGACTGTGATCTGTGAAGTCAGCCATTCTCAGCAAGGACATCTGAAGCGTGGACCTGCCAGTATTGTGGCTTCCAGGCGTCATAGTCAATGCATCCACAGCCCCGTCCAAAGCTGCACCTTCGTCTGTTGCTTTGGGGATTGTAGCTCGTTTTCGGCACGTCGATACATTATTGGCATGGAAGCTTACTTGCTGATTGCTAGAAAATGTTGAAATGCAACTATGCCAATGTTAAGTCTGTTAAGTGGACTTCACAGTGGACTGGTTTGGCGAAGCGAGTGGGCGGGGGGGCCACTGGAAGCAGCTGCTGGCTAATCCTTGTTGGAGCCCAGCACTTGGGTTTGGGATGTTTTGGGGCTACGGCGGGCTACGGCTACATCCAGCAACAATTCAAGAAGCTTTCTGAAGCCCACGGGCCTATGGCGGACAGCCTACCGCTCAGACGGTGCTCTCGGCCATTCGCAGGCGGTGCCAATGTAGCGATTGTCGCCATGGCTGCCAGGCCAGGCTCTTTACATCTTATTATCCACTTGTCAGTATATTCAATGTATCGATCTACCGGCCTTGTGTCTGTGACTGGTGACCAGTCCCTTATTCGGCATCAACGCCTCGTGTAGGGACGTTTTGGGCTTGTTGGCGCTGCTAAGTAGAGCTGCCCGTGATGACAACACCTGAACTGCTCCGTGGCCTTTGCTTTAAAATCAAACACTCACATCATGCATGATCTTGCACATCAACACTTAATCAGCCTTAGGGCCATGCTTTGTGAGCAGCAGCAGCAGCAGAAGATAACAGAAGAATCCTCGTGTTCCCTGCAAGCCGCATACCAAACATGGCAGATCAGCAAGAACCGTTTGCTGTCGTAACTTAGTAAGAGCCTGCAGCCGCCACATAGGAGCATTGTGGACCAACACCGTCATTTTAAAAGCGTATATGGTACGATTCGGGTGTCCGACAGAATACAGGCCCAGCCCGCATCTCAGGGTCCGGGGTGCGTATGCCAGCTTGCGAGCATTGGCAGCTTGACAGCTACGCAGCCCCCACGTGCACTCTGGGAATAGGACGGGCTGCAGGGCCAGCGGTCTTAAAGGCAAGAGAAGAGAACGATCGTGAATAGAGTCTATTTGTCAACTACCCGTTGAGGATGACCGTCGCTATGCGGCTGGTTGAGGACTTCTCTCTGGCTCTCAGGGCTCTGCTTTAGGTTTTGAAGAGCACCCCTCGCTGCTGAAACGCCTTCAAAAGCCCCAAAATCCCAAAAGACCTTTGGCCCCACCGCAGCCGCGGCCAACTCACGGGAGCTTTCGATGCGCCCTCCTCTGTCTGTTTTTGCACACAAATATGTTGTTTTGAAGTTTTGGGGTTTGTTGTCTCCGAGGTGAAAGGGGCGAACTTGTCAAGTCCTTATTGTACGTACCACCAGCATAAGGCGTGCAACAGTCTGCACACTCTCCCCTAAGCACTTCAAGGCTCCTCGGCGTCAAGGACGAGTCAGCAGAAATCATGGCCTGTTCACATCTCATGGTAACTTTGGCAAGTCCCACCCACACACACACACACACACGAGCTGCTGAAAAAAGGCATGTGTAGTCCAATCAATGACGTTGAATGCAGTGCAGTAGAAGAAAACATGAGTCGAACAGAAGCTGCGCAACAGAACACTGGCGAAGCTAAGGAATTCGACCCCCAGTGCCCATGGTCTGAGATGCTCTGAGGCAGCGGGCAGCTCGGGCCATAGTCGCCAGCCACGGTGCATGTGTATCATGTGTGGCTTCCTTGCATTGCAACGGATCTGGTTGGCCCCCGTCTTCTGAGTGTCCCCTGACCGATCTGATTCTCGAAAAATTCGGGTGGAACATGTTGGAACATGCTGGAACACATTGCGCTGTCCGAGTACTTGACTGGCGCAGCCAGACACTGCCATCCTGGCGATTCACAGCAGCACGTGCAACAAAACTTCACAACCTACAGAGACAATGCTACTGAATTCGCCTCGGCTTCCTTCCGAGAAGCGTCTGGAACAAGCAGTCTCCTTCCCCCGAACCCAACCCTTCCCCCCATGCAGAATTTTGTGACCCCCCTCCCGCCCGCCCTGTGGGCCCCCCCCCCCATGGCTTGGAACAGCAGCAAACCGATGCCGTGCAGGGTCCCACCTAGGGAGGCCTCAACATGCACGAAATCCCACCTTCTGCCCGCCCGCCCCCTGCCCCCGCCCCCCCTGCCCAGCACAACCAACTTTTGACTGGAACGCCCGGACACGCTCCGAGAGGGCGCCTCCAGGCGTCATCTCCACATACTGCATGCTCTGGGCCGGCCCGGCTGCCGACGCGGCGCGTGCAAGCGTTTACAATAATACTCAATGCTACGCATGTTCGCAATGTTCGCCTACAGGGCTTGCGATTGGCTTTCCAAGAGGGTCGTGCATGTTCCCTTCACTTCAATGACAGCAGATTGCATGTTCGCCTACCTGACATGATCTGACATGGCGTCCGCCTCGGGCAGCCACAGAGTCCAGGGTCTCTGGTGACCAAACATAGTCTGGTGCTGAGAGTGGCGTTGCCTGGCTAGAGCATGCTAGAGCACATATACTGCACTTGAGCCTGTCTGCCACACAGTCCGGTGGAGTCTCATTCCTTCAGCTGTCCCTCAAAAGTAAATTGGAATTTCATGCATATTAAGCCCACATGACTATGCGACTACCCGCCTCTTACCACACCCAAAGCTCGCCTCACACGCACGAACCAGCTTCTGCGTCGGATGAACGGCGCGTACCTGCCACATGGATGCGTTGCTGTCTGTATCCGCACAGACTATGGAAACAGTGGCATCAGCGACTCCGAGTAGAGACACGTCTATAGAGATGGGGAGCTTCCATGTTCTTGTCAACATAAATGTCATGGCTAAGATCTCGCGAGGCTTCTCCCAGGCGCCGGAGCGCGGCTCCGGGAAGGGCCATCACGGCGACACCTCAGCCAACCACACCAATATCACACAACCACACTTTGTACCATTGTATCACTTCATCAATCTTGTCACATGGCATTTGTTGCGTATTACACCTCACAAGTAACAGTGCAGGTCACGCAGAAAGATACTTATGAACACTTCAACTGGCATGGCTGTGAGTATCTGTGAGGATTTGTAAGTGTTACAATCCCGACATGACGAGCAGAGATGAGCAGAGCCAGCACTCGGAATACTCTTCTGACCACTCATTGAGAATCATTGGTCGAGCGCCCCGCGGCTGTGGGTCAAGTGCTGCGCGCAACAACTTGAGATCACGGGAATCCTCGCACCTTGGCGATGTTGCCCCATTGGCTTGGACCGAATATGATGAAGTCCTGCCCTGCCTCTATTGAATCTATTGTCCGTCCTCTCTGGTACAATCACATAGCTCTAAACTGGCAGCTGGATGCACGAAAACTTCAGACACGCCTCAGACTTTCCCTGCCGACTTGGTGGCTAAAACTTCGTGGGGCGACAAACATGGAAATAGAAACCACTTAAATGTTGTATAGTCTTGCCTCGCGCCGAGTGGATGTTAGACGCAGCCACGTGCACCGGCCATGCTTGATTGATCTTGATCTACTCCGCTCAGAGAACCACCTGAGCTTAGGCCATATTTTGTCATAACTTCACTTTTTGTCTCCAAAAGGACACCCTATATATTGCATATACACTCACCAGCTATTTTCAGGAGCACGAATGAGCCTTCATGAAAACCATGACAAAGACACTATTTCAGTTTCGAGAACAGGCGAGGCATGTCAGTCAGGCCCACAATTAACGTCCCAAGCTTTCGCGTTCCGTTTGCTTCCCTTGCTTTGCGCAAACCTCAAGCTTCTGACCGCCGGAGGAAGCGGAGCGTCTCCTTGCGGTGCCTGTGGGCAAGATGGCAAGAGACTCTGCAAGACGCAAGTCGCAAGTGCTTGGACTGGGTCCCGCATGATCCCACTAACCGGCCTGTACAAAGCATCTATGCACTGGGAGAGCTCCTGCTGTCTCACCTGCACATATCAATGGCACCGCTAAGTTTGGTGACAGGTGTCGAAGGCGCACTCACAACATGCTTTCGACGTTCAACATTCGCAACAGCGAGGATTTGTCATCCTTCTGCCTCACGGGTCTGCCATGGACTGCAGGCCCTGGCAGGGAAGCAAGACCATGTTAAGTGTTCAGAAACCCTTCAGAACCCTTAGAACTGTAACTCCAGGGTGAATGGCCCGGTTAAGCTAAGCACCGAGCACCCGTGACGATGGGCAGCGCATTAGCAATCGCGACTTCTCTCTTCAACGTCTTTCAACGTGTTACAGCCTTGGATGCCTGGGATGCCTTCACTGTGGACGCCTTTGACACAACATGCCATGGCTGAAAAATCTGAAAATATCTGAACCCAGAAGCCTCTAAGTTTATGACTGACCTGCTGTCTTGTACTTATGTTGCGCATTGTCACAAGCACTGTGCAACCCTGTCCTGTCAGTCGGGGCACTGCAGGCGTGACGTCCCGAAGATTCGCTAGGACGAGGCCTGTGTGACAAATGATGACCGTACGTGGTCCTTGCATGAATATAAAAGACGCCAGGTTCAGGTATTCACGTCGGCAGAGCCTGTAGGCCTGTAGTCTCGGAACGAAACAAAGGGCGGAAAGCATCACTTGCGGGCACAGGCAAAGCCTCCAAACAACCCCTAAGATCCCTAAGAACTGAGGAAGACAAGGTAGAAACACCAACTCAATCACGAGTTGATGAGATGGCATGAGAAGATGGGCAGTGGATGCCACAAAGCACTCAGCTTCAGGCGTGCTTGGGGTTCGCGGACTTCGCGGACGCATCTTGCCAGCAAGACCGATCAAATATCACACACTGACGAACTGCCCAAAACGTGCTACGCTCTGCAAGGCAAACATGCAAGCAACCACTCCAGCCGCCGACCGAACGTAAACGCACTAGACTCTCTGTCCCGACAGGCAAGCGCAGGTCACGGAACATGTTGCACAGTTGCACTGCTCGGTTCCCGCACAGTATCCTCACGGGATCGCAAAGGTAATGGCATGGACCTTACAACTGCGTTGATTAGAATACTACTGGCACTACTGACGGCCCGTGACCCTACTCTGAAGGTTGAGCCCAAAGTGGCATTGATGGCAAAATATGGCAAAGGTCCAGGGGCCAAATCTTTTCGTGGATCTTTCAAAGTTGAGTTTGTGCGGGTGGGTGTGCCCTGACACAGCGGAGCATAATATACTGCGAAGTAAGTCAGAAGTAGTCCGGCTCCTCCAACGAAGGACATCTAAGAACGATTGATACTGAGCTCCCAACCTGACAGCTTGAGCTTCCTGCATAGGTTCAGCCAGCGCAAGTCAAGAACATGATCAAGTCATCTGCATCGCTCATGATGTGATGCTGAACAGTGCTGCTATCACCTGCCACTCACACAAATTAGTGCTTTGAAATGCTTTGAAGAAAGACTGTTCCGACTAAAAGCAAGCAAGTTGGGTTCAAAGAGGCCTCATGCATGGCTTTATCCATCGTCATCGCGTGCCATCACCATGCCCAGCTAGTTCGAGTAAATGGCCATCAGTGAACGTCCCTACTGTCATGCCAAGCGGGACCTAACTTCGCTGCTGAACTGCTATTGATATTAAATTGATATACCAAATTATATGCAGTGCCTCTTGATGACAACCGTCTCAATAGCCGGGCTACATCATGCAACTGGTCTTGGTGCTGAATGCTGCAGTTGCCTCCAACATTCGCATCACACACGCCCGCGCACATGCGATCCTGTTCTTCGATGGAGGTCAGTAAAGGTCAGGGAGCAGGGCTTTGGGACGTGGCAGCCAGCTTTGATTTCGCGCGAGCTTGTGTTGATGATCTAGTGCTATTCATGGCTCGACTGGCTCGAACGCAGTCCCACACTCACGACATGGAATGATGGTGGTGGATGCAGGGAACCGGAGTCAGCTATCAGTCCAAATTTTAGCATTTCAGTTTGAGTCATTCTACACCCTATGACTCGAACAGCATATCTGCCCGTGACACTGTCAGTTTTTGGATTTCGCATCACCACAGAGTGATGACTGAACCCGGTACTATACCCCGCAACATTGATGTCCGTTTCTGCAGGCCATTTTAACTCTGAGTCGGTCACGTGAGTTAGAGATAGTGTGAAAGACAGGTCACACGGGTACACATGTTGAGTTCGGCTTCGCAAACTTCCGGGGGCAGGATGGGACATCCGCAGCTCCTTGCGGTCTCTGGTTGGCTCACACGGCTCGCAGAACAATCGTCACAGCTTCTGTGCTGCAGGCTGCAAGGAACTCTGGTAGATGTCTCACCTGGGGAACGCTGTGAAAACTCTTGCTGACGATTTGCAAAGAAAAAAAGAAAAAGCATGGTCCCACATGGTCCCCCGTCCAATCCCGCACCTCTGGCACCTTCTCTGCTGCCTCGCAGAGGGCGCTGAAGGATTTGGGGTCCGGATCAAGGAGCTGCTCAGACATCTTGGCGAGCACGGAGAGGCAAACTCGCCACGTTTCACGCGGAGAGCTCAAGGAGTTCAAGCAAGCCCTCAGAACGCTGTTGAAAGAAGTCTGGTCTGGATGTTCCTGCGCACATACCTGTGATAGGAGGTGAAGCGACAATCTCCATTTCCCTGCCTTCGCCTTGGAGTGACGGGGTTTCTGGCATCAACAGCCAGGCAGGAACATTGTGCAGATTTGCTAAGGCACAGTGCGTGTCTTCAAGGCCCTTTGCCTGCTCGATCTTATGTTGCAGCAGCCTGGTTCATTTAACCTACTAGAGTCTCTAGTCTCTAGTCCTATACCTCGTACAGTAGCACTTCAATCTCGAAACAGCCACACTGCCACCATCAGCGGAGCGTCGCAAGCACCAAGCGCAGAGTTGTAAATCAGCACGTTGCTCTGGACCAAATCGATCTGCATCAACTTGAGCAGCAACATCGCTAGTTGCCAGTTCTCTGCCTGGTCACATACGGACAAGGCTGAGCCGTAGCTGAATGAATCTGGCTGCAGTTCAGATGATCGCATCTCCAAGAACAATGTCAGCATCAGCTCCCAGTCTTTCCGGCGAGTGCAGCCTGCGATGAGGGAATTGTATGTTATAGTGTCAGGTACCACCGTTGCAGCCTTCATCTCATCGAGAAGATGCAGCTCCCGTGCATGCTGCCAACTCTGGCCGACAGCGAGAGCGCTGAAGAGCGAGTTGTAGCTGATGGTGTTCAAGCTTAGGCGCTGGGCCATGCCTGTCTCGCACAGCAAAAAAGCCTGCTCCCATCTTCCGCTCTTCTCACAGGCAGCAAGGCCTGCGTTCAGAGCCACAACGTCAGGGCGAGGTCCCTCTGCCCACATCTGTGACAAAATCCAAAGGGCCATGTGCCATTGATGGGCCTGGCAGGGCGAGTCCATGCTTAAGGAGTCTCCTTGCCCATGGTTTCCCATCCAGCTAATCGAGGCAGGTTACGATGGTTTATGCAAGAATGTTGAAGTCGCGCCTTCTCGCAGGCAGAGATGGCCGAGCTGTACATCAACACATTGGGACGTGGATGTCTCTGACCGGCTTGCTCGTGCAGCAGATTGATGGCCCTTCTCCATGCAGCGACTTTTTCACATGAAGACAAGACCTCCGTTCCCACCAAGCGCACTCGGTAGAAGCAATAGGGCGAATATATGCCATTATATTTTATCGCAGGCAAGAAAAGCCTAGATCCTTAGCCCTCATAATGTGCAAACTGAGTTGGTCGTTGAGCCCACCGGCCGAAGCCAATGCGAAGCGTTAACAACTACTACTCTCTTTCGGCTCGTGCGAAATAGCAACACATTCTGCAAGATCTGCAACCTTTAGCACTCTTCGCATAAGCTCTTCTTGAACTTGCTCGGAAACAGTTGTGCCAAATGCTTGCTGAGATACAGCCCCGCAAAGCGGCGCCTCTTCTCTCAAACCAGAGGAACACGACCTTGATGAGTTTCCCCATCTTTCAAAACGGCGGACTCATGTTAGGCAGGCTCGTATTGTGGTTCTTCGCAGACATGACTTCAGTTCAGAGCGTACGGCTGGGCAAACGCGCTCGCGGTGAAGCTTTGGGCGCTGGTGCCGTGCGATGCTTCATAAAGGATGAGGTAGAATTCCGTCTCTTGGCAAGATCTATGTAGAAAGTATGGAAAATATCCAGTACTTAGTATTTTCGACGTTCGGCGAGTCAGTTCTTCTGACCAAGCTTTGTCTGAGCGGAAGCTTGAAACAGCAGATGATATGTGCGTCGCAAAATCGCCCAAAATGCTAGTGGCACTGTAGCAGTCCGGAATCAGATTGTTGTGCTTCCTGGCCATGCCTGATGGGTAGTTGGAAACCGTTGATCAAACAAATTTGGAGATGCTTCGGCTGTGGCCATGCCTTGGGGGCTCTGCGCTGCTCTGCAGATCATTCTGCTTCTAGATTGGCATTAAAAAGAACTTCAAATACATAATACACACACAAATACATAATACACATATAGGTATACATATATATATATATATATGTAAAGATATATATATATATATATATACGTACATGTAAACATACACAAAATGTAGTATGCAATATGCATTACATCATCTCTGTGCTCTGCCACCCGGTGTTCGTCCTAGCAAGAAGGCCTGCCTCAAGTAGTATATCAGTATATGTTGAAGCTCTCAGACAAAACCCAAGACCGTGCCCATTGGTTTGCCCTTCGGGGTGCGGCTGTGTGCCGCGGGGAAAGTCAGGCCCCGTATCACAATGCACAAGGTGATACAAGGTGTGCTGTCAAGAAACCAGATCAGCATCTCCAGCGCCTGCTGCCAGACTTTCCCCTTCGCAAAGCAGCTTGCTGCCAGCCCAAAGACAACGACCTGAGTTGGTCGACCGACTTAGCTTAGGCAATGTGGCCAAGGATATAGGTACATGGACTGGATTGCACACTAGGCTTCGGGCACTTGGCTGAATGGATCCGACTGCCTGGGCCAGGATCGCATTGGCCTGCTGCGCTGTCAGGACACAGGTCAGAGGGGCGAAGCCGACTTACACTGATGCGCCGATGGCCTCCATACGCACAACGCCGAAGCGCCGATATCCCCCTCCCCCCCCTCCCCCCTTCCATACGCGGATATGCCGATGCACCGCTGCGCGCTATCCCCTCGCCCCCCATCCCGCCTCCCCTTCCCTCCCTCTTCCCCCCCCCTGTTTTCTTTCCCGTCCACATCGAGCCCCCTCTGTTGTCGTGCATGCCTGCTCAGAAACCCTTGCTCTATCCCTGAGCGGTAGATCTCCTCTCCGCGTGCAACGTTGCATCCCACATAAGTCGCAGCATGAGCTGCAGAGCCCACCTGCCTGCACCCACTGCGAAGCACAATCGCAATTTTGCATAGCGGCACCATAGGACACGGTGTCAGGTCGCATGCCTGAGCATTGAAGTCCCGCAAAAAGCTCCACTGCCTTCTCCCAAAGCCCGCCAAATGCGCTCATTGCAGCATTGACAGCGGGCAAAGCGTTCTGGGCGACACCGGTCTCGCCCATTGACTCAGCCATGGATAAATTGGACAAATGCAAGGCAAGGTCCCAACGTAAGGCCTTGCCACACGCGCTTGCTGCGGCACAAAGCAGTATGATGTCAGCTGCTAGACCTCGGTCCCAGGTCTTTTGTAACAGAGAAACCGCCACCTGCCAGCACGTCGAGCTTTCACAGGCGCTGACAACTGTACTGTAAGAGACAACGCTTGCCTGGGGTCCAGCTTGCTCCATGTGTCCCAAAGTGACAAGGGCTTGTGCCCACCATCGAAAGTCTCTGAAAATGGAAAGCACTATGTTGTAACAAACCGTATCCGGTTGAGCAGAGCATGCCTTTGCTTCTTCAAGGATTTGGAGTGCATCCAACCAACGCTTCTCTCGACGCAGGGCGGCAAGAACTTTCCTCGGATGGTATCGGCTGCAGGCGTGTATTCAGGGCGGCTTCGTCATGCTAACAGCATCTAACAGCATCTGACAGCATTGACAATTGGCAGCTTGTGTGGACAGCGTTGGTTTCAACGTGGCAGCTCTGTTCTCAGCAGGCTGCGAGCACGCTCTTGGTGAGGAAGCCCATCTCCGATCAAGCAGATTTTCAGACTGCCTGAAGCCATTCCAATCCACTCAAGATCGCTGCTGGTCATACAAGCAATCACTGTGCGCTTGGGAGCAGGGTGGTCAGTAGTACTCACAATTTCTCCACTTCCCCGAACATTTGACAAGCAGTGACTAAGCCGCGGGGCATGTCAGATCGGGGCACCTGCCCCCGCTGTACATGGCATGCGCGTAAGACTGCCTGAGAATGTTCGGTGAGCAGCGCAGCAGCTCAAGCAACCCTCAGCCATAAGACTCGCAAGCTAAACTGTGGACAAGACCTTGCAGATCCTAGAACCCGAGAAAAGTTCTCTCGGGCTCATGCCGCGCTCGAGGGCCGTGGTACAGCAGCATAGGCTCAGCCATGGCTCAGGGTTGAGGAATGTGGAAAGCAGTTCTTACTCGAGCCCTGCCAAACTCTCCTACTTGATGCGACTTGCTGTTGCAGGGCTCCGGTTGCAAAGGATAGAGTGAGCAGCTACGGTTTTCCTGTGCCAAATGTCACAAGACAAGCAAGGCACTGCTCAAGTATGACCTTCCTGCCAGACTTTGCTGACTTGTGCATTCGCATCATGCATCCAAGTGGAGCGGAACTACTCGCTTGCGCGTCGGAAGCGATTCATGGGTCCAAGCCTTGCGCGTCTGCTCGGCAAGCGCAGGCAGCTCCCGAATTCAGACGTGCATACGGAGAGCACTATTTCTTCACTTGATTCCAGCAGTCAACGGCGGCATTCAGAGCCAGATCGGAACTTGCAACAAATCCTCACCGTTGCAAGGCCGAATGAATCTGTACAAGCTCCTTGCCCACCCTTTCTTTACAAGCACTGGGTGATTGCCGTCAACAAACTAGAGACCCAGAATTGCAACTTCACATACATCTGCGGAAACATCTTGTGCTGCTGCTTAGAGTGGCACACAGCATGAAGTCATGGTTCAAGTTCCCGGATAGTTGGGATATAGTAGTTGTCCGGATCACACTGGGACTAATTCGGGGTGCAAGGCAGGGCTTTCAATCTCATGGTCTCATGAACATCGGTGCCAACTTGTATCCGTACAAAGGTAGAAAAGGCCGCGAAACATACATCAATAGAAAGGTACTTAATCTCACGAAGGACTTGAGCTGCTGCATCGTTTCATTGACGTAGAATATGGATGCATGCGGATAGGCACTCATGGTGAGGGTGAAGAATAGCAGGGGCTCGGTTCCAACCAGTCATGTGTTACGAGGAGCCATGAGTTTCATTCTCGCACCGACATGCCGTGCGGCGCAGGGATTAGGAAACCGAGTTGGCCACTGCAACACCAAAAGGACAAAGCCGGTGACTGAGCCACCAAACTGGGATGGACTGCCAAGCTGGAGTGTGGGCTGCAGTATATGCATTCGTCCCAGATTGTTGCTGTCTGCCAGCTTCTGATCCAGGATGCGGTGTCATGTGGAATCTGACAGCCGGTATGTGTCCAATATCAGAAATGAGTCCAGCAAGTGCGCGTTGACTTGGATTCATAGCCAAGGTTCTCCCAAGAGCAACAGGCTCATGCAGGGTGGAGACTGATTTTGGCTGATCACACGGCTTGTGGTTGTCTCCGATGTGATGTGTGATAGAGTGTAAGTGTATGTGTATGTGTGTGTGTGTCTGTATGTGTATGCGTATATGCGTGTATGCGTTGCGTGCGGACGAGTACGTGCCCGTGTGACCGAGAGCGAAGGCAAGAGTGTGAGAAAGCGTGATTATGCTGTGGCGGCATGGGATTTCATGCTGGAGTTTCAAGCGTTTTGTTAGTCATGTAAGTCGTGTAAGTCATTTGTAAACGTTTCCTTCTCACAGATGCTCTAAGGAGCGGCACGCTGCCATGGCCCTTTGCTGCTGCATGCTGGCGATTGGCAGAATAAGGATCTGGTGTGGAGTGCAGTCTTGAAGCTCCGTTGAATGAAGTGAAGGTGACTGGACAATTGGCGAGTTTGGCATGCTTTTCAGCACCTTGGATGGGGTCCATCGTGGGTTCATGTGGTTTCCCAGCCTTGACACCTTGCTTTGAGAGAGATGTCCACTGTGTGCACAGCCCCAAGGCTATTTGAGCAACAAGTTTAGCATCCCGCAGCTGCCAGGCGGCTCAGTTCAGGAGGCCGTGTGCAGTCCTTCCAGTTACAGGTCAATTGGTGTCTTTGCATCTCAGGCTCCAGGCTCCGGCATTTGGGCAGCTACGGCATGCGCTCAGAGCCAACGAGTAGCAGTGGCACAAATGTCCAGCCTTGCAGACCATCTCTTGAATAGCATCAGCCAGCTGTCGGCAGTCCTCCGCTGGCAAAAGACAACGTTTCCGACCGACTCATCCGCAAATGTCATACAAGCCAAAGAAACGAAATAGGCTGCATATGGCTGCATACAAGCTTCAAGCGGAAATCTGTGGCCGTGAGGATGACGAAGCATCCTTTTTTCTGATTCACGCGTAAGCTGCAAAGGAAGGGGGTGGGGAGCTGCGGGCAGACTGTGGTTAGTGCTGACCGAGAGGCTTGCTCGTGTTTTTCTTGCTAGATGTTGACAACGTACTGGTCACACCATACCACTCCTGGCATAAACAAACACGACTTACGGTTCAGCATGGTTCAGCGCGATTAGTGACTCCATCCGGCAATGCGATGGGCAGCCAACAGTTGGGTTTGTGATGCGATGTGCTGCGAAGCCTGAGCTAACTCCTCACTGCCACGCCGGTCGCTGTCGTTCTCTCCGATGACATGGATCGACGGAACTGGCACTTCGCACACCTCATGACACGCTCCAGGCGCTCACTCCTTCAATCAGTCCGCTACTCCAGCCACTCCACTCACACACTCAGTCTGTGACACTTGCAAACTCGCACACTTGCACACTCGCTCAGGAACTCACCCGCCCACATATTCACGTACTCTTTGCTCCAATCACTCAGTGCGTTCAGCTTCGGGCGTAGGAATCAGTACACACGCGTACATGTGGGGCTGTGGGTGCGTGCGTGAGGATGCCTGCGTGCGTGCATGTGCCTCTGTGGGTGTGGGTGCGGGTGCGGATTGTGTGTGAGAGTGCAGGAGATGACAGGAACACTGGGGTGTCAGGATGTCGTGGTACTTTGCCTCAAGGGTGTGCCGGAACCCTTTCTCCCTGTAGCCACTGCGCCGGTGGATGCAGCTGTCTCGTCTGGATGACCCCTCTTGTTCCGTCGGGCTTGAAAAGGAAAATCCCGTCCTCTGCGTCTCTTTCTCTCTCCATCCGCAAGTTTGCGGGTCTGATCTTCTCTGCAAAGTACCTTATAAGATGTCTTGTGGCACTGGAGCCGCGCCTTGCTACTTCCACGACCGAAGCAGAAGCAGCCCGGTCGGAAGTCATCGGGCGGAATGCCGCAAATAGAAATCACAAGCCGTGGCGGCGTCACCTTATTCCGCTCACACATGTCACAAGCGAAAGCTCCGAGTTCCCGCAAACCCCCAAAAATATGCCGACTGCGATCCTGTAGTCACTGTAGTCACTGTAGTCACTGTAGCCACTGTAGTCACGAACGACAAGTATCAATCCTGTCTGGGTAGCAGGCATCTGCCAGCTCGGCCTTCAACTGCTGGCGGACCTCCATCAGCTCTTGTGCATTGCATCGCACTGCGCATGTTCAGATAGCAAGAGCTCGCCAAAGGAATTGATGTGCAAAGCAGGGACGCAGTGCGCGTCACTGCGTCACTACAGTACGGAATATTCAAGGCTCAAGTGCGTTCTAGCGACGGTTCAAGAACACCCTGACAGGCATGCAAGAGCAAACCATGATACGACTCTCATCAACTTTCAACGTTGAGGAATGACACGCAGTTGTCAGAATTTGCCTTCACCGTTCGGTCCTTGTGTCGCCCCAGATGTGAGCATCATCGATGGTTTCCCGGGGCGCACCATGGACCCTTCATTTCTAGTGTTTGCGGGTCATGAGGGCATGCATCAGCATCAGCAGCAAGGTCGGCAGAGGGTGGGCGGGAATGGCCATGAAACAACCCCCAAAACCACAGCAACAACCAACACGTAAGGGCATGCGCGATTGAGAGGCAGGCGCACGCGCGGACAAACGCAAAGGGTAACTTTTCCCTGGCAGCTGACGATCCGACTGGGGCATGGCCGACTGTTGCCACCAGCCCTTGTTCGGCCTCAGCACCGCCTCGGCCCGCGCCATGCACGGCTGCAAGGAACGCGGTGGCGCAGGCCGCTCCCTGCCATGGGCTGGGCCAAAAGGGCAAGTACGCTTTGATCTGATTCTGCCTAGCCATTCCCGATGCTAGCTTTTTTGGGCTTGTGATTCGAGCCCTTGTTGTAGGTACCGTGCCAGACTGGATAGGGATAGAGAGTGCAATCTAGGTTGAGTCCAGTACACCGGAAAACGCAGAAGTCGAAAACAGCCCATGACATCACAGATGCCAACATTTCAAAACGGGGTCACCCGGACGGCCTCTGAGAAGCCCAGCAAAGCATCGAACGGCCCCTTCGCACCTCATCGCAGGGACATTTCCTCGCTGGTTTCCAGTCGGGCTCCCCGGGGTTTAGGAAGGTAATCGCACAGTTTCTTTCCTGCTACCCTTGGCATCCTTCCGGATGCCTGGCGCTTGCTGCTTGAGAGCTCAGCTTTCAAGTTTGGAAGGCTCAGACAAGTCACCAGTTTGGCTTATGTACAACTCGGAGCATGCCCAACAACTCCAAACAAACTCGTCTGCAGGCTCAGACTTGGTTGTTCTAAGAGGGCAAGGTGCGCCGTCATGAGAGTGGAAGATAATCGGGCGCAGTTTTTTTGCAGAACACGGACACAAAGCTGCACATGTGGCGGGTCTGTGGCTTTGACGGCCACCCACCCGGCATGATACGGAAGGGTGCTATGAATGCTGGTCCAGCTTGGATCAGTGAATCGCTTGCGGAGATTCTGGTAGCAGATGTCACAGTCAGTGAGTCAGGCAGCTTGCCAGCTTGCTTTCGGACTGATTGCTTGCCTTGTTTGGCTTTTGCCTTGTGAGAGAAGGTTGTCGCGGCTTCGGTTTTGGCTCTCTGTGCTTGTCGATTTCGCGCTCCGCGCTTGTAGGAATTTCGATGCTCTGCGCTGGGCTCAGGAAAATGTTCCGGCCGTGAGCTCAGTGGTCGCTGTGATGCTGATTTCTGTGGGCCACGGCTGCGGCGCCGTCTAAGCTTAAGCGCACGTGCACCTTTGCGTCTGTGGTTTGCAGTGACGCCTATGTACACACAGCTTTAAGGCGTGGACGGATGTATTCTGCAACATGTCGCACGGCTTCGAGCTGTCCAGCCAGGCCATCCAAAGGCTCCCACCATTGGTAATATGGAGGCAAGCACTCCTGACATCGAAAGGAACTACACTCCACACAAAGTGACACAGCTACCTCAAACTGCTGCACAACGTGTCTCAATGTCTTGCGCAGCTATGCATCCCGCATCCTATCTTTCCCAAAGAGTACAAAGTCGGATAGGCTCACCTGCTCAACGTCGTCATCCGCTGCAAGCATGCCAGAGATGGGCCTGGATAGAACACCAGACATGCCTCATGAGCGGGCCTTGTGACCTATAGTGGCTGACGCAAGCTCAAAGGTGGAACATCTCAGTATCGGACCCGTCCAGATGCGAGAACTCCACAGATTCACCAAGCTTTGCCTTCAGCTGTGCCATCTGCCGCTCCTTACATTGGTCTTGGGCTGAGAACTTGAAGTATCTTGACTATGGTTCGGCGAGGAGCCATGAATGCTGAGTTGGTGCGCCAGCCATGCAGGCAGAGGATGCGTGCCATTTCTGGCCTCAGCTGATGCTCACATCAGCCACCAGAACTGGTGATCAGAACTGCAGTAGTCGGGCTGCATTGAATTTTGCTGAGCTGCGAAGCAAGCAAAGGGCCGGCCAATCGCTTGCAACACGGCTGGAGTGGATGAAGAGAAGTCACACGAAGTCGCTTTGCCAATATGTTGTGCAAATGCAGCAAAGATGCAATGCAGATGCGACGCAGAGGCAATGCCACTGCAATACTGTATCTTCCGAAGATCATGTCAAGACTTTGACTCCGCACTAGTCGAAAGCAGTCCTCCACAATCTGGTCTCCAATGATATAGGTATAATGTGCCTCTGAATATGTCTATACTAAATCTAGGCACATCTAGGCACTCACGCATTTTCACGTGTTTTTTGTTGGCGTTTCATTTTGAACTCAGACTTATTCTCCCCCCCATGACCCTTCGAGTGGATGTTGAAGACGTATTAGTGGGTTGCCGTAGACTGCGTGCCATAAGTCGAACATGCCGTGCAACATGTATGCGTATACAAAACAGCATATGTGGCACAAGCGTATTGTGTTTACGTACAGGAGCCAATTCTTAGCAATTGTTTTTTCCAGCTAACTTCATTAAGAGTTCCATTGATCTAAACTTAAATCATATTCGTTCCCTCGAGTACACTCACAAAGTAACTATTGTGAGTACTATGATTGGAGGTCAGCTATACAAAGCTAGTTCCGAACATTCACTTAAACATTTTAGGAGCGGGGGGGCGGCTGAAGGGAGGGGGGCGGGGCCCGGAGGGAGGGGGGGCCCACCCCGCAGCCCGGTACTTTTTCATACCAGTTAAGGTCGGGGTCACTTGTTGACCCACCTGAACACTAGAGTTCAAGGTTGTAAACGACAAGTCTCGCAAGCTCCACGGAGCCAGCTTTCGTGACATAATTATGAATGGCCATCATTGTTTTGATTCGTGCATAGGTTCAGTGGTTCCGTTTCACTCCTTCAGCCCGTCTTCGACACCAGTATGCAGACGCCAGCCCCATGCACATCGCAGCATCCTGCAACCTTTGTCAGCACAACACGATCTTCCCTTCGCAACCCACAATGCGCGGTACCCTTCAGGTTCTGCGCATTGGCATGAGTATCGCAAGCAAAGCCTCTGTCATTCTTGAGGAGTACACAGCATACCTTGAAGCGTCTTGCTGAATTGCTGTCTGCGTACTGCGACTTCATCGCCATTTCTAGTTTCATGCAATCATTCCTGCTCCCCCTAACCCAAGTTGTGGCTTCAGCCGCATCTCATGAACTCACCAGACTCACTGTCTTTTCTTGGCCGCAGATCCCTGGCAGCCCAGGAAATTTGACTTCGCAACATCATGAAACAGCACAGCACTAGCACAGCACCAGCAAGATGGTGCACTGCCTGCACATCTGCAAGGGCTTCCGGCCTTAAGGCATCTGAGTCACTGAGGCTTGCCGTGAACTTGATTGGAGATGCCATTGCCAAGACCCTCGCCATCCGCCGCTAGATGCTTAGCGTTGTCGAACATTCGCTTGCACGACCACCTTTTGCTGCCACAACTGCCGTCGCGTGCTGTGACCGGTACTGCCACCACTGGCATCTGGTCACTTCGCTTCGTTGCAACAAGAGAAGGAACCTCATTGCCATGCGACGCTTCTTCGAAGGCGACATCCTGGAACCAACAATTTCAGACTTAGCAAAGTCATTAATGCATAGACTTAGCACGTAGTTCAGAGGACGCATCTTCAAGACCTGAAGATAGATGGGCCTCTGTAGAACTGTTTCAAGCTCTGCTCAAGGAATGCGCGGACACATGCACCAACACTCAATGGTTGGCCTCACGTGGTGTCGGAACAACGGCAAGCGGTGCCTCAAAGATGGTGACATGAAAGTGAATGAGAGTCAACTGACCATTGAAGCTTGGATTCGGAGACCGGGATCAGCAGTGCTTGAAACTACGAGGGTTAGAGTTTAGGGTTCAGGGTTCCGGGTTCAGGGTCTAGAGTTTACAGTTTGAAGGACACACCATCGGCGGTTTTGCAATTTCTGCACCGAACTTTGACACTAGAAACAACAGGCGACATCTGCAATTTGAGGCGTGACCTGCCTGTGGAACTCGCCTCTTCTAGCAGGCAGACACTAAGCAATCCCAAATCATACGCAATCACATGCAGCTAGCAGTACCCACGCACTTCCTCAAGCCTAGATTCGGCCTAGGTTGTCACGGTTGTGCTCAGGTCAACCAACGTGACATACTCGCAGCGCGACAATGATCTGTATGACCCAAGTTTTCTAGATGCAATTGACATGTGCCATCAGCCTCTGGATCAGCGCCTGGAGTCGACGCCTGCTCAGTGCTGACTGAGTCACGTCGCAAAGTGTTTCAACCAAGCACGGCTCCAAACCCAAAGTGAAAAGTGCCATTCGCCCCATCAAGACCCCCGCGTGACCATCCAGCGTGCACATGACTTGTCACTCAAACGAATACTGCCTGAACGCTTGCGGCAGATCCAGCGGCACCGATGCGTTCGGGACTTACTGTGGCCGACTCCTCTCGAGCAGGCGGAACTGCAACACATGCTATCCGGATTTCGGTGAAATTCTCGCTGTGCTTTTGCTCTCTCCGGCTGTTCAGGTCCTGTTAACTCAAGCCCGCTTTGATCTTCTTTGCACACTTCTTGCGCGCGCGCGCACACACACAATTATGTACACACACACACACGTACATACCGCACACACTCCCCGACGAGCAAGACGCACCTGCTCAGAGTCGGAGCTGCTGGACACGTTCCCGCTCTCCAAGCTGGCAGCCTTAGCATATCACAGTAGCTATCGCACAGAAGATGTTCTCTGTAGACTTGACATGGCGGCTGCCCCGACAGAAAGTGCTGCTTGCTGAACAATAGCCGTTCAAATAGCCGCTTTCCTAAGAGCTCCTTGGAGCTGGATTTTGAGGGAACTTCAGGCGTGGCATGGATGCATGAGCGTGCCCTGATCTGTGATGTGATGACTGTCTACGGCTGAGGCCAGCACAAGATCCCTGCGACATAAAGGGCAATTTCTGTTGACTTTCAGCCTCGGTGCTAGACATGGGACCTTCAAAGACAGACAATGGCAGAAGTGAGATGTAACTGCTCCACAACCTGCGAATTCCTCACTGCTCCATCGCAAGCCAATCCTTAAGACCTCTTGGCTCCTTGTGAACCAATGCTCAGTTCTGCGGCCAGTGGATCAGGCAAGCCTCGTGGAAGTAATGGCCACCTGCAAGCGAAAAACATACACACGGTTGGAGCAGCGCAAACTGCGCTGCATGTCCAAGGACCAAACTAGTTAACTAGTCGAGTCCACAGCACGTCTCCCAGAGGGTCTCCCAACACCAGTGCACTGGTATCAGGCTGGCATGATACCGTTCCATACTCACTTTGACAGATGCCATGGGGTGAACGGAAAGCTTGGGGGCAAACAAACCGTCTTCTTGATGGTCTGCTCCTTGTTGAAGTCCTGCCATTTGAACGCAGGAAACTGAGATTGAGCTGGACAAAGCCACCGTCCTCCATGCAAATCGGACACTGCAGGGCATCTCCGAACTCCTCACAGGTGGAAACATGCTGGCGATGGTTGAGAACGGAGTTTAAAGCCCCTAACTCTTGATTCGTGCTTCCTTTCATTTAACGTAGTCCTGCTTCAGGGCTAAGAACACCTTCTCCGCCCTGGTAGCTATATTTGAGATTGAGGGCAAAGGTCTGAGACCCCACGAGTGCCCAGTCAGAGGCGACCAAAGCGCCCAAAGACCTGAAGCTCTACATAATGTTACCGCCCGGTGCAAATAGTCAATAGTCATAGGTGCTATAGGGGCTTTAAAGGGTGACAGAGCGGGTCCAGCTGGGATGCATTGAGGGGAAAACTCGTGAGTCACAGTTTTTTCGGGGGCCTGAAGATGTGAGTAATGTAATGTGGTCCTGCGGGTCGAAGACGGCAGTCTGCTGCAGCTCGATTGTGCCCTCAGGCCAGGTTGTTGCAAGGCATTCTTACCTGTACACTTGTTGTCGTTCTCACGCTGATCAGGAATCACTCCTAACATCCCCTAAATTCATTTGCACTGTAAAGCATAACCTCGGGGCATGTGGCCTCAGGTGCCGCACGGTCCGAAACTATGGATGATGGAAGGAGGCCTCGACCTCTGATGGGCTCAGCAGAAAGCGTAAAATGAACACGAGCACACGACACAGCTAGTCACGGGAGTCATGCCTTGCCGTGCAGTCACTGCCAAAGTGGGGGGGAGGGACGTTCTTGCAAACACATGCTTATGGTGTGGGCAGGGGCAATAGAGCACATACAACAACAGTCTAATATGCGGGGGTGATCTAAAGCCCCTTTTTGGGAAGTTTTAGGGTTGATACTTGGTTCAGGGGCTATTTGGGAACAGGTATATGGAGTAGCTATCGTATAGTCTAAAGACCCCCCATCCTCGTGAGTGTCATGTTTTTTAACCAAGTTTAATCAAGTTCATCATCTACTATAGTATACACGAGTCGGGCATGTCAGAAGCTAAGGGGTTGCGGGGAAAACAAGCACAGGGAGCGGATGATGTTTTTGGAACCAGGAATGCACTGCTTTCTCTTAAAGAAGTGGGGGGGGTGGGGCGGGGTGGCGGGCGAGCCCTGTTTTGCAAATAGAATGACTTGAGGAAGAGGTTTTTCATTTCAGCTTTCGGGTTGCAGGGGACCACCGGAGACTGTAGGACCAGGTCACCACAGGGTCAGCGAGCGGAAGGTCAGCGGACCGGTGTGCCAGGGGACCGTCTTGGAAGAACTATCTCACATTGTTCTTCACTCTGAGCCCCTCCGTTCCCCAGCTAAATCCACCGAAGTCTGACACATGTCATAACGATTCCTCAGGAAACTGTCCTCCGCACTTTCAACGCGCAATGGACATCGGTGGTTAGGTGGC